ACTCCGATGATATAAAAAAGAGCCTTGATTTCAAACTTTTTTCTTTCCAACATCAATATCTTTAAATTTTTCAAAGTCCTTCATCATTTCCCATAGATGATCAAATTTAAAGCCTTTTTTATAATTTGGATCTTGCATGAGTAAACATTTTTCTTGCATAATCTGCATAAAAATTTGAGACAAGTTATAAGTAAATTTACAAATAAAGAATAATTAATTATAAAAGAAAAACTCACAATAACTTTTTTCCACTTGTCGAATACAACCATTTAATTTTCTTAAGGCTCGCTCAATCACTTGAATACGAGAATGAAGGGATCTTTTATTCCTCCTTTGCATTATTATAACTTTCTTCCACCCTACCCCAAAAATGGTCTCCCGTTTGTTATTATGGGATCTTCACTAATTTCTACATAAATTTGACATAATCGTATGTCCTCTTTAATAGAATATCCAGTCGCTCGGATAGTCATTTTTTGCAATTAATCTGGATAGCTTGTATGGATTAAAAAGGGTGATAAAGCCAATGTCAATTATATATATGGATAAAGGTTGAAGTTGACACTTCGAATATTAAATGAATAAGTTGGCATTTATCCATATGTATATATAGATAAAAATTATAGGAACTGACCGTAGAAATAACAATAGATGAAAATTATCAATTTCAATAATTTCTAGCTCGATATAAAAAAATAAAACTCAGATGACCTTTCAACGTAGATTTAGAGTGTCACCTAACATCATTCATTTAGTACTAAAAATTTGAAAGAGCTTTACGCACTATTGTAAAAGTCAAGTCATCTTAAAAATAATTTGATATCACTTAAGAGAAGGTGAGAGAGATCAGTGTTTTAAAAGGTGGAGGCTTGAGGCGAGGCGTTTTATGTAGTACAGGGCAAGGCGTAAGCTCCGAGACACAGGGCGTAAGTCCATGGATCCACGGGGCGTAGTTTCATGTATATTCAATTTTATAGTTTTATTACTAATAAAATAAGCAAAAAGTAAACCTTTCAATGATTTATGATTTTTATTTGAGATAAATATTAATAATCAATAATGAAGAAAAAAGTATTATAATTACTATTTGAGAAATATCATTACACCAAAAATAAAAATATGATTTAAAGCAAAAAAGATTAAAAAAAAATTTAAAACCCCCGGGCGTACATTTTTACACTAAGGACTTACGTTTTTATGCTCGAGAGTTATGCCTCAAATTTTAAGACTTACGCCTTATGAATCTACGTCTTTAATTTACTCCCCGGAACGTTTTTGGTACGTCCCGCCCCGAGACTCGCCCAAAAAACGTTTTTGAAAATACTGGGGTGAGACTAATAATTTGATAAATAAAATAAGTACTTTACAGCAAATATGAAATATAGTACGTATTAATTACATATTGTGACTTGGAAGTTGGTATTATTGGAGGGGTATATATAACGATAGTAATTAGGTTGGATATTTGAACAATTAGCGATGTGATTATAGTTGAGTGGTCAAGTCATATTGAATTCTTCTTCTGCCTAAGACTATCTCCAATAACCCACACCAAATTTTACATCAAATCTTAAATTTGGTGTAAAATTTGGTATTTTTGAGCTCCAACCCACACCAATTTTTACACCAAATTTGGTGTAACACTATTCATCACACCAATTCACTTTTTGAATATTTTAATATTTTTTCACTATACAAACTTTTAATTAAACATTACAGTATATAAATTGTATGTTTTAACTAAATCTCTTGTATATTTAATTATTTTTTATGTAATATTTTTATAATATTAATTTTAGATATAAAATTTAGCTTTTTTATAAATTAATTTTTCTATATATGACTTTTTTTAAGAATTAAATTTATATTAATTCTACTATAAATTATAATTGGATATAACTACAATTAACATTCACAAAAATTAAAAATGCAAACATATAAAATTTTAAACAAATAATACAATGTACTTAAAAATAACTGAAAATAATTAACATTCAACAAAGTAGTAATTGACATACA